GTGTATATATAGATGTATTATTGTTATTTTCCATGTACTCATCATAAGCAATGTGTTCTTTACCTTACTATGAAGAAATGTGACAATCCACCATGTGTTCATAGGTGGAGGAAATGTGTAGGATATCTCTTTATGTATTTGGTTTCAGCTAACCCTGCTCCCCCTATTAAAAAAACATCAGTTGCCATAGAGTTGATTTCAACTCATGGTGACCCCGAGTGTGTGTCAGCATAAACAGTCCTCTATAGGGTTTTCAATGGCTAACTTCTCAGACATAGATCACCAGGTCTTTCTTCTGAGGTGCATCTGGGTAGACTTGATGCCATAACCTTTCTGTCATGCTGTTAGAACCATTTCATTTGATAATATCTTATTATTGGTGCCCTCATTTATTCTCTCATTGGATCCTTACAACAAAGTTCAGTCAGGTGGTAATTTTAAGAGCACAGACTCTGGAATCAGCTACTGTTGTTGTTGTTGTTGCTAAGTGCTGTAGAGTCAATTCAGACCCATAGTCATCCCTGTATAGGGCTTCCAAGTAGCAGCTGGTGAGCTTGAACCATGAACCTTATAGTTCAAACAACTTTGCAGTCTGATGCATTAGCCCATGGTGCCACACCAGTCAGCTACTAGAGAATTCCAGCATAAAGTACTAGCTGTGAAACTTTGTACAAGGTACTTCTGTGGCATCACTGGGTGGTGCAAATGTTTAATGCGCTTTGGTACTAACCAAAATGTTGAAAGTCACATCCTTACACTGGTGCTTGAGTCTGAATCGACATAAGGACAAATGCTTTGTGGTTTTGTTTTTCACTTTATTTTTCTAGGCCTTGTTTCCTCCGCTGGTAAATGGAAATAATAACGATACTAATCTTATGGGGTTGTCATAGAGATTAAGGAAACACATGAAATTCTTAGCACAATGTTTAACTTAAATCCTAATACTTCTGTTGGATGGATGCGGATTAACATGAAGCAGAAAGACCCCAGACGTTAAGTGAACCACTTAGCCAAACCCACATGGAGTCCTGCTGTGGTGATGCAGGATAATCTACTGGACCACAAGGTTGGTTTGAGCCACAAGGTCAGCAGTTCAAAGTTACCAGCCGCTCCTCAGAAACTCTATACAGGCTTAGTAGGAGTCCGAACCAATGAGAGGACAGTTAACAGCAACAAACCAGCAACATAGTTGTAGAACTGGAGCCAAACCTGCCATTCTCATTTCAGTCTTCTTTTTAAAAGGCTGCTTTTTATTTATTAAACACATATGTAAATATGAAATTGTTGACTCTTAAATGTGATATTTAGTCAACAAATGCAAGCATTGGGTGCACACATTACATCAGACACAATGGTGAGGCAATGCAGCTCAAATAAAACGATGAAATCCTTTATGAGCACCCACGTGCACACATACAATTACATTCAGAATGTGAGGCCTCTCAAAAGAAACCTTAAATATTCTTTCTACATGCCATGTTTTAAGTGATGATTCTGTCCTAACTTTATCATTTACTCAGAGCCTCAGTTTCCTTGGCGATAATAAAAGATAATAATAGTACCTGACTTAAAGGGTTACTAAAATTAATTATGGAGTCCTGGTGTGGCGCTATGGGCTAATGTGTCAGACTGCAAAGTCGTTTGAACTAAAAGGTTGGTGGTTCAAACTCACCAGTTGCTTCTTGGAAACTCTATACAGGGTCACTATGGGTCCGAACCAACTCATTGGTACTTAACAACAACAACAACAAGATTAATTAAGATACTGCATGGGAAGTCCTTAGCACAGAGCCTGACACATAATAAAGTCTCAATTGTTGTTAAGTGCCATGGAGTTAGACCTGACTGATAGTGACCATATGTAGGGTTTCCAAGAAGTGACTGGTGGGTTTGAACTGCCTATCTTGTGATTAGTAGCCCAGTGCTTATCCTACATGTTAACTAATATTATTGTTATTGTTTTTTGTTGGTGGTGCCTGTTATGTTTCTCATCAGAGAAAGCTCCTTAAAATCCAAAGTGGCTATCATATTGTCGTTGTACTTCTTACGACTAATTGAACTGATCTTTCATATTTCTTGTTTGATTTCCCCCACTAGAATTAAATTACACAGAGACAGGAAGTCAGGACAGTGTTGGACACATAAAAGTCTTAATAAATTCATGAGTCAAGAGGAGGCTGAGAACAATGGGGAGGAGAAAGTGAACACGCTAAGAGCAAAGAGGAAGGGAATGCCCTGTTTTCCTGTTTTCTCACACAGAATTCTGAGTCCCTCATCCATTAGCATTTGTTCAAAAGGAGCAGCTGCCCAGGGGTTTTAAGCTGTTTAAAATGCAGCTTAAGAAATCATGACTAATTTTGATAGATTAGTTGCTTTTCTCTTTACTAAGGGTAGATATACCTTTTCAGCAACCAAGTATCACCATGCTTATTTTAGATCCCGCTTCAGGTTAATTTCCATCCCCAAACCTGCATGATGACCACAGGCCTGACGTTTGGATTCTAGTATCTGATTTGCACTCCAAAACTGAGGTTCAGAGTTTCAGTTCATCAAATTCAACACAGATGCGTTCCAAAGTTGTGTTTGTGTGGACAATGAAGCCTGGCATATGCTTATCAGAAGGAAATTAGTTGTTGTTGTTGTTATTAGGCACCATCGAGTCAGTACCAATGCATAGTGACCCTATGCACAGCAGAATGAAACACTGCCCAATCCTGCGCCAACTTCACTATAGTTGCCACGCTTGAGCCCATTAATGTTACCACTTTGCCAATCCATCTCGCTGGTGGTCCTTCCTCTTTTTCTCTGACCCTCCACCCTACCAAACATGATATCCTTCTCTAGCAACTGGTACCTCCTGACAACATGTCCAAAGTATGAGATGAAGTTTGGCCATCCTGGCCTCCAAGAAGCACTCTGGCTGCACTTTTTTCAACACAGATCTGTTGGTTCTTTTGGCAGCCATGGCGCTTTCAATATTCTCCTCCAACACCACAACTCAAAAGCATCAATTCTTCTACGGTCTTCCTTATTTACTGTCCAGCTGTTGCACGCATATGAGATTATTGAAAATACCATGGCTTGTATGTGTGAAAAAATTGCAACTGGCACTAGCTCCATAAATGTTCCCTGTTGTTGTTTGTTATTATTGCCCATTTGTTCAAAAAGGGGTTTATTGTGCACCTATAACATGCTCACCAATGGTCTGGGAATAAAAATCTCAGCTAAATGGACCAGAGCTCTGCCTTCATGCTGCTTATGTTGTAATTGGAGGTTCAGGAAATAAACAAAGATCATATGTTGAGCAGATCAGGGAATATTTGTATTACAGAAATAGATGGCAATAATGAATACTTTTGATGAGGCAGGACCCCAACTGTTTTGTTTCACACTACCCCTCCAGCACCTTGTGAAGAAGAAATTCGATATTTATTCATAATGGTCGAATTAACAAATGATTGAGTGAATTTTTGAGGGGTGGGGAGTTTAACTTGGAGATTGCAGATTCTGGGTTTAAGCTGTTTAGAGGTGATACAAGCTTTATTGTTTGTGGACTTTGTGTGCACGTGGTAAAGTCTGGGCTAGACTTTATCTGTATATAAGTGAGGAGGACTATGAGGTTGTGAGTGAATGCAAATCACTTACCTGGGTAAGGTCAGTGTAAATGCTAGGTAATATTGAAGGGAAATCTTTGGCACTGTGCATTTGTGAGGTAAACCTGTTCTGTGTGAGCCCAAGTATTGGGTTGTGATTGTGGTAAACTTGTGCTTTATATGTGTGAGAAAATAGTCTGGGGTTTGTTAGATGAGGGATAACAATTTTCAGAGAATAATTTTGCATGGCAAAATCTAGGGATGAATGGTGTCTGTGATCTCTAATGCAATTGTGTGTGAGACAAATTAGGGGTGGGGTTGCTATTAGTTGCCATGGAGTGGATTTGACTCAGGAAAACCCCGGCTGTGCAGAATACAACTTCCTCATAGAATTTTTAAGGTTGTGACCTTTGAGAAGCAGATCACCAGTTCTTTCTTCAGAGGAAATTCTCTGGGGGTTCACACCAGCAACCTTTGTACTAGCAATTGAGCACATAACCATTCATACCACCAGGGACTTAAACATTTGCCAACAACCAGGATTGTATATATTAAGTAAGAATGGGTTTAAGCATGAAGTTCTCTGTGAGTCAAGTACAGACTTTAGTGGTTGCCAATGAAGTAATAGGGTTTCTCTTTGGGTGTGTGCGTTCCTAAAGCAATTTAAGAGTTCCTTATATTGGTCAAAGTGGAAGATGCAGATTTGTAAACCAGAATCTAGAACTGAGCCTACCTGTGAGAGAATTCTGAAAGTAGGTGAGGCAAGTCTGGAGTTATGAGTAAGCCAAATTGAGGGTTATAACTACAATAAATATAAGTCTCTGTGTGTTCATTGAAATTGGCTTTGGGATTAAAACAAGTACATGTGGGACAACACATTGGTGTTTATGAGACGAACTCAGGAGGGGTGATGGTGCCAAGGAGTCGGTTCTGACTCATAGTGACCCTGTATAGGGTTTCCAAGGCTGTACATCTTTACAGGAGCAGAAAGTCTAATCTTTCTCCTATGGAATGTCTGGTGGGCTTGAACTGCTGAACTTACAGTTGGCAGCCCAAGTTGGCAGAACTACAAGTCTCCTTAAACTCAGGAGTGGTGTGGGTAAAACATGGTTTATGTGGATATGTGAGTCAAGTTTTAAGGGTGAATATTTCTGAGACACGTGAATTGTATCTAAGCATAAGAAACAAATCCAGGGTTTGTTGCGTGAACAGGCAGCGTGTGTGTGTGTGTGTGTGTGTGTGTGTGTGCACGCTCCAAGTTGAGAATTTTTATGAACAATAACTATGCGTAAGCAGTGAGGCCACGCTGGTGCTAGGGGTGCATGAAAGGAGCGGCGGTGGTTTCCTCCCCGCGGGTTGGAGGTCTTCTGAGTTGAGCGCGCTGCTGCCCCAGGTCTCTGCGCTGCGCGCTCGCTGGCTTGCTGGGGACAGAGGCAGGAATCGGAACAGCACTGCCGCCTCTGGCGCGAAGGCTCAGGCGCCTCCTCCCGCCCCAGTCACTGTGGCTCGGCGCACGCTGCCGGCGGCTGTCCTTTCCGCCTCTGGGGAAGAAAACCCGCGGACCGCTGCGGCGCTAGCACCATGGCCTCCGGCCGAAGGGGCTGGGACAGCTCCCACGAAGATGACCTCCCTGTGTACCTGGCTAGGCCGGGCACCACGGACCAGGTCCCACGGCAGAAGTACGGAGGCATGTTCTGCAACGTGGAGGGCGCCTTCGAGAGCAAGACGCTGGATTTTGATGCCCTGAGCGTGGGGCAGCGCGGCGCGAAGACCCCTCGAAGCAGCCAGAGCAGCGTCCGCGGCACCGGGGGCCAAGCCGGCACCGAGGGGGACACGCCGCGCAGGGGCCAAGGCCGGGAAGAGAGCAAGGATCCCGCGCCCGCGTCGCCTTCTCCTGCTGGGGTGGAGATTCGAAGTGCCACGGGCAAGGAAGTGTTGCAGAACCTCGGCCCAAAGGACAAGGTAAGGGAGTCCGGGGTCCCTTCTCCGCCTGCCGTAGCTCCCTTCTCTAGCCCTGGGCGCCATGGCCCCCCCACACAACTTTCTCTGGCTTACTTTGCACGGGAGTGGGGGACTAGGAGAAAAAAGGCATCTTCCGCTGAGCGTAGGGTGACCTCCTATCCTGTACCCTGGCTTCGCGAATGTTCCCAATTACAGCATCTTCGTGCTCCCGGGGCAAGGGTGTACGAGCCAGGCGCGGGGTCCATCTCTCCATGCCTCCCAGCTGCACCCCCAGGCTATTCGTGCTGGGTGGGTGTGTCAGGCCGGCCAGCTTTGGAAGGCACAGCGATTTCTAGCCCTTCTCTGTGGCTGAACAACCGGCAGCACAATTGTGTTGCCCGCCCCCCCACCCCCCACCCCTCACCCCTCTGGTTTTAAATTAAATCTCAACCCAGGTCACCAGGGCAGAGGACAAACTGATGCTGGGAAAACAGAGCAATCTCCACAGTGCCGGCTCAAAGTATGGGATGGGCCGTCTCCCTTCTTAGTCTTCAAACCTCACCTCTGTCCCTGAAACTTTTGGGTATAGAGACGCTAGACTAAACACCCGAAGCTCTAGGCTCTTCTGCTCTTGCACGACATTTCACATCTGTGTTTGTAAAGGGTGTATTTGTGTATATAGCTTGCCACAACACCGGGATCCAGCTGTCTCTGGAAGAATATCTTTGTAGTTTTGAAAACAGACGAGAGCGTTCAGAGTGCACGTTCAACTAGCGTGAGCTCTAAATTATTTTCTGATTCTCTTACATGTGCCAAAGGCAAGTCCTTCTGTCTCTGTATTTTAGTGAAACTTATGTCACATTCAACTGATTGAAAGGAAGGCCTTGAAATCCAGGGTGTCCTGATTTGTTTGTGAAAAATCAAAAAGGTAGAGAATTCAAGGTCTGGGACAGGGCTGGAAGATTCAAAGTTCAACCTGATGCGTTTGAGTTGGGGAACAATAGTAATCAGATGCCGTCCCTCTTGTCTAGGGAATGGCTGCAAAATCCATCTGCATATATTATTCTACTCTAATACTGTTATGAATAATAACCTGAAATGGAAATGTCGGCCTCAGAGCAATTACAGCTAATGTGTATCCAGAATTTAGTTGTTATTTTTTCCATTAAATTTCAGTGAACCAGTGAAAGGATAACACCTCTTTCCATTGTGTTATTTTTGAACGTTTAAAAACAAACCCTTAACTATGATTGATACCACCAGAGTAAGCACTTAGTGGAGTTGTTGCTGTTTGTAAAGGAGCCATTCTGGGAGCAATGTGGTGTTCCTTGAAATCCCTCCTTTAGTCTCAATTCTCACACTGTGTTTTGAATATGAGATTTTTCTAGGTCCTGCTTACATGCCCTTTTAGGGACTTCTGATATTTTGGAAGCGGGTAGGTTGATATCCAAACTAAAGAACGGCGCTTTGCAAAGATGATTGCCTTTCTTCTGGTCTGACTTGTTCAGTATTGAAATGTTCCATTCCTGACTCTCAGGGGTGGCAAAAGTGATGGAAAAGGTCAGTAACAATTGCTGTGAGTCAGTTCTATTCCCTCAGCTGGAACACCCCTGATGTAAGTCAGATAATATGCCTGCTTTGCAAGATTGAAGAATGGTAACTAGAGACAGGAAATATGTTTAAACTCAGTGATTCTCCTCGTCTCCTCCCTTTTACAAACCCAATGCTTCTGAGTCCTAATTGAAAAATAATAATACAACCGAAACATCAACAGGATTTCCAGTGTTACATGGTTATTTGTAAGTTCGGCTTGCTGACAGCTTCTTCTAGGCCGGGTTATTATCTCTAATTGGGTTGAATCACACTGTAAGGAGACACCAAAGAGGTTATCTAGTTCTGTATTTAATGTGGTTAGTTCTCTGAGTACAGGGATTGTGTGTTTGGATTTATTTTTGGCCAAAATGCCTTACACATTCTAGGTTGCTGGATAAATGTTTGAGACATTAAACCTTCTTAATTAAGCCATCTATTTTGATATGTAAATGCAAAGTGATCATCAAGTCTCTACTTAAATAAGCTGTGGGATTAATGCTCTGGACTGTAAAGTCGGTTTGAACCTCAAGGTTGGCGGTTCAAGTTCACCAGCTGCTCTTAAGAAACCCTATATAGGGTCACTATGGGTCGGTACTGACTTGAAGACAACAACAACCACAATTGTCAGGGAGCTTTCTACCTCATGAAGCAACTTTTAGACAATTTTGTTCATTTTTTAACAGATTAAGTCTAAATTCGCCTACCTGTAAATTCTTAGTTCTGACCTCTGAAAATAATAGGACTGAGTTTCCTTATTCTGAGGACTGTGTAGTGTTTTTAAGCATATGGGATTTTGTATCTGCCAGGAAAGCCTGGGTAATGCCTCGGTGACAAACAATCCCTAAATCTCAGTGACTTAATCAGACGGTAGCAGTTAATTTCTCACCTGTACTTCTTATCCAGCATGGATCAGCAAAGAAGCTCTGTTCATCGTTGTTCTTCAGATCTCGCATAATGGAGGCTCCATCTCTACACATCCATGCTAGGGAGAGCATGTGGCAAGTTGTACACAGGGTTTAACTCCCACCCAGACATGACTTATGTTCACATTTTATTGGCCAGAGTCACACTTTGAAGGAACTGGGGAGTATAACCATACTATGATCCTATGAGACAGAGACTAGAAATATTTGACAAACAGTTCTATCTCTCCAAGATATGGAGACAGACTACTGGGATGAAACTTGATTTAAAGAGCCCTGTTGATACAATGGTTATGGGTGTCATTGCTAACCAAAAGCTGTTGGTTCAAACCCAACAGCTACTCCATGGGAGAGAAGAGCTGGCTTTTTGTTCTGGTCTCATAAAGATTTTAAAAAAACAAAACAAATTAAAACCCATTGCCTTGGAGTTGTTTTCCCCTCCCAGGGACCCTACAGAACAGAGTAGAGAGACGATAATGAGTGCCCAGGGGCACTCTTTAAGTTTGGGGAGTAGGGTGCAGAAAGAGAAATCACATAGATAATAAGTGCAGCCAGAGTGCCTCCTACTCATAGCAACCCTGTATAGGGTTTCTGAGGAGTGACTGGTGGGTTTGAACCACCAACTTGTAGTTAGCAGTCCAGTGACTTATCCTGTAGCCTCTACACCAGAACTCCATGTTGTTAGTAAGTAGGGAGTCAGCATTCAAATGGATTTTTCTGATTCCAGACTCTAAGCTCTTTCCAGACGGGAGTCTGCTGTTTTTTTCATTTAAGAACCTGACCTTGGTATCAGCTCCTGATCTGTTAATGTAATGCAAGGCATGGGCCAACCTTCCAGCCTTCCGCATCTCTAGAAACTTACTTCATCCTGTTTTTTGTTGTTGTTGCTAAGTGCAGTCAAGTTGGTTCAGTTTCATAGAGACCCTATATAGGGTTTCTCAGGAGCGATTGGTAGGTTTGAATCACTAACCTTGTGATTAGCAATCCAGTGCTTATCCTAAAGTGTCACACCAGGAACCCTCCATCCTGCTACCAGCCCATTGAAGTCAGTGACTCAGTCTTTGAGAGCTGCTGCTGCAACATCTGCATTCTTCCAAAGGGATTGTGAGGCTAACCAAGAGATTTTTTTCAAATCTTTTGATCAAGTCAAAATATGCATTATTTCCAGAAAACTTAAATATTGACTCCTATAAATCTGAGGACTAAGGTGCGCCTGACCCAAGTCATGGTGTTTTCAATAACCTCATATGCATGCGAAAGCTGGACAGTGAATAAGTAAGACCATAGAAGAATTAATGCCTTTTTGAGTTGTGGTGTTGGAGGAGAATATTGAAAGTGCCATGGGCTGCCAAAAGGGCCAATAGATCCATTTTGGAAGAAGTGCAGCCAGAGTGCTCCTTAGAGGCCAAGATGGCCAAACTTCGTCAATCATACTTTGGACATATTGTCAGGAGGGACCAGTCACTGGAGAAGGATATCATGTTTGATAAGGTGAAGGGTCAGAGAAGAAGAGGAAGACCCCCAACGAGATGGATTGGCCAAGTGGCAGCATCGATGGACTCAAGCGTGACAACGGTAGTGAGGTTGGTCCAGGGTTGGGCAGTGTTTCGTGCTGCTGTGCATAAGGTCACTATGGGTCAGTACGGACTCAATGGTACCTAACAACAACAACATAATTCTGGTATAGTACTGTAGTACAAAGGAGCTCTGATAGTGTAGTGGTTACACATCAGGCTGCTAACCTTAGGGTTAGCATTTCGAAACTACCAGCTTTTCTGCAGGAGGAAAATGAGGCTTTCTGCTCCTATAAAGATTTACAGCCTCGGAAGCCCATTTCAGGCTTGCTCTGAGTCGGAACCAACTCCACGGCACGTAACCACCGCCACCAACCACTGTAGTACAAACCCACCAGCTGTTCCTTAGAAACCCCATACAGGGTCTCTATGAGTCAAGATCAACTTGAAGGCAGTTAACAACAACAACAACCTTAAGGAAGCACTGGACTGCAGACTACAAGATTGACAGTTCAAACCCACTAGCTGCATCTTTAGAGAAAGCTGAGGCTCTCTGCACCTGTAAGGATTTACAGCCTCAGAATCTCTATATAGGGTTACTATGAGTCAGAGTCGACTCAACAATAGCACCTAACAACAACACAGTAACACCTTAAAGAAATGAATTTACTTAATAAATGAGTAGACTAGAAAGAGGTTAAATAATAAACTAATAAAAGTGTTCGGCAGAGTAAAATATAAAACTATCTCTGGGTTGTACTCCTAATACCAAATTGAAGATTTGAGGCATCCCTGGGTGTTGATGCTGTGGTTTCTGTACTTAGTTGCAAACCCCTTGCTAAATTATGTATTTAGATTTTTCTCATGATGTGTATGTGTGTTAGTGTTAAGTGCTGTCAAGTTGGTTCTGACTCATTGCACCCCTGTATGGGATTTCCAAGGAGTTGCTGGTGGGTTTGAACCATCAACTTTATGGTTCACAGTCCAGTAC